CCCCAAAACCCCAAAACCCCAAAACCCCAAAACCCCTTAACAATTATTAAATATTGAAAAGCTGGAAGATGGAAATTAGATTAAAATATTGTTTAAAGAACTTAATTGTTAAAATCCAATTTCGAACTTGTTGAAACTTTTGCTGTTGATCACCATTTTCTTTGAGAAATTTGTGATCAATATATCATCTTCGGGGGTCGGGGTCTTTTTGATTTTCTTTCCGCTGCCCTTTAAGGTCGGGCTCTCATTCGTACTGCTATAATAAAGTTAGAAAGATTTCAATTAAAAACTTACCATTGAGTATCATCGTCTCTCTCCATGCTATCAAATCTTCTCTTTCTAAAAAAGAAACTTTTCTTCTTCAATTTTGTTCCGGTGAATTTGGATTTGTTCTCATCGGGATTTGATATGGAGGTACTTTCTAAACTACCGATAAATTCTGAGCAATTCTTGGGCTCATTAAGGTGTAGGATCTCTTGAGGGTTAAGATCATTTCAAGTCCCACAAATGAATAGCTCCAGAATATAAATCACCGAACTTAGGGTCAATACTGGAGACCAACATGTTGTAAGTGCGCTGACTAATAGCCTCCCTGAAGCATCAATCTCTTCATGAGAGATGCTGTTTAAGTTATAGACTTGGGGAGGTTCGAAGGGATACCTCGGTGTGATAATTATATGCCAGTGGGAAGTGCCCGATTGATTATCTATAAAAAGTTAAATTCTGATAAATCCCAAAGAGGTCATAATCATAAAAGTCTAATTTTTAAAATCTCAAAATTTTGGATTTTGTTTGCTTTTGCTTACCTTTTCTCACAATTGATAGAGGGACAATGATGCTTTTCTCTACAGCTCATGAAACATTGCCTATCTCTGGGGTGTCACAGTCCATCTCGACTTCACCTTTATTTTCTTCATTAAAACAACTAAGGCTGCTGCTCACTGCGGGCTTAATAACAGCACTATGCTGGACCTCAATATCCTTCTCATGTGGCTCTTGCACATAGACATCTAAACCCGTCTCAGACCTTGTTTAGAACCCATTCTCCCAAATTTCTAAAAACTTACCTATTTCCTTCGAATCCAGCTCAGAACTAAACCTCCTAATCTTGTACCTCTCATTACCAAAGAAGGCCAATACCTCCTGGATATCCTTAGAAATCCTGGCTGAGATCCTTGTCAGACTTCCCTTAAATGTTGGATTAATCATCTTTGTTAATTAATAAATGTAAGAACTTTCTGGGGTTTTGGGGTTTTGGGGTTTTGGGGTTTTGGGG